GATGGAAGGTCTAGTTTTTAATAGTTTGTTGTCTATTCTCGTCAATGGTAGTCCAACTAAAGATTTCTCGGCTTCAAGACGGTTACGCCAAGGAGACCCGTGTTGCACCCCAAAATTTGCCCAACCTTTTCTAACCTAGGTTTATGTTTCAATTGCATAATCATTTGCATTGGCATCATGTGCATAGTGCATTCATCTGCATTGCATAGCATAAGCAAGTTATCTTAATCAGGGGATCAAGTGCTATTCTTATCTCAAGAGGCATATTCAAGGGTTTCATTCATATTCAAGACTACTCAGGTCATCAGGGAAGAATTTGAGCTTTGAAGAGTTGACAGGTTGATCAGTGAGTTCTCCCCTATCTTGAGGTTATTTGGGGATCATCAGAGGAAGTGTGAGCCATGAGCCAAGAGCATGAGGTGTGTATGGATGTTATGAAGAGCCTAGATGATCATTTTTGAGGAGTAACCAAGTCATTGGAATGATTGCAAGAGCCTCAGTTGAAGTCAGTCAACTAGGGTTTTATCTAGGTCAACACTAGGTCAACCCTAGGTCAAAGACTTGTTTTAAAAGGCATCAAGGATCATTTGAAGAATGTGGGATTCATTATTTGCTATATGGATATGGATATGGTGTTGTGCCAAAGAAAAATCAGAAGGATTCAAGGAGAAGTGGAGTTACCAAATTAGGGTTTCAGTGTAAAATCCCCTGATTTAGGTCAAACTTCAAAGCAGTGTAACTCAAGATGAAAGATTCATATGAATTTTTGGTTCACATGAAACTTGTAGAGTATCTTCATAGCTTTAATTTGAGTGGTGGAAGTCATCAAGATGATTTATAGAACTCAAGTTATAGCTCTTGCAAGTTACAGGTCATCTGAGGGCACTGAAATTTGTCTGTGAAAGTTGTCTGTCTTCCAAGCAACTTTTGACCTTCAAGGAGATTTCAAATGGATTTCTGGCCAACATGAGAGTTGTTCCTCATTGTCTTATATTTCTAGGAAGGTATGGTATGCCTTCATATGATTTGTGGAACTCTACTTATGTCCTTGGCAAGCAAAGGGTATTTTGGTCATTTGAGAATTACAGGTCATTCTTAGCCTATGCCTAAAACTCATACAAGGAAGCTTCAAATGAAAAACTTCACAACATCAAAGTTACTCAAAATGTCATTTTAAGTCTATAAAAGAGGTCATGGAAGTTTGGAAATGCATAGAACTCAAATTGATAAAAGTTGGTAAAAATGACTTAAAAAATGGCATATAAGTTGAAAAAGTTCAAATGAAAAATTGGTTTGGGCAATCTACAAATCCAAAATGGGTCATGTAATATACCAAATTGATTCTAAACAACATTTTAAAGACTTTGGTTCATCCACAATTTTGAGATAGGGCTTTAAAAATGGGGTTGCTTTGTAAATCCATTACTTGCATAATAAGGCAACCATGCAAAACTTAGCATAAGGCAAAATTCAGGGTATGTAAGCACTAATACACTTCCAATTTGTCATGAAATGAGATTTTCAAGTGGGCTGTAAAGTGTATGAGAGGAGATATTACATGAGATGATAAGTTCCATTATGCCATATCATGAGAAATTCATGAAGTTTCTAGAATCATCCTAGAGGGATCCAGAATGTGCTAGACATTTCCATCATCATCTATATAATGAGTAGAGAAGGTTGGTGAAAAAGGTTGGTGAAAAGAGAGAGAGGAAAGTGAGGACTCCATTGTTGCTTCAATTGTAAGAAAGAGTGAAACTCCATATTCAGCATCAATTCAATTCATTCTTCTTCTTCATTCATGATCCATTGATCTTGTTGAGTGCATAGAAGCTTCTTCAGAGGCTTATCCATGGAGGATTGAAGAGTTAGAGTTGAAATTGCAAGAATCCATACCGGATTCGAATCCCTCCCTACAAGCCTTCATCCTCCAAGTTTGTGCAAACAGAGGAAAGACCTTCATCAGAGGATCATAGTGAAGAGGGATCAAGCTTTGAATCGAGCTATTCACATACCTGCCATAGCCAACAAGCAGGTTGGTGTTTTCACTCCTATCTCTCTATTTATGTGTTATTGGTTAGAATTTTAGGGTTAGAGTTGTTAGGTTAGGTTAGATGATTGAATTCTGTGAATCTGAGAGCATTCCATGAGGTTTAATGACAGGCCATAGAATCTTTGGAGATCGAGATTAGAGTAGTTAGTGAGTGTTAGTGCACATATGATAGCTTGCTGAAACCAGTGCAACATAGAGAGCATGATAGTATCATTAGGATCAAGAATTACAAGGTTCCATGGCAGTGCAAAATGGTGGGACCAAGGTCTTCGTGCCTTATGTTTGTGAGCTCTAGGGAGTTTTAATCCAAACCATTAGTAGGATCGTGTTCCTGGGAGTTCGTAGTACAATTTTGGTCTTTGCAGTTTTTGAATTCATTGAGAATTGAGAGAGAACGAGAGGGAGTAAGATTCTTGCATGGAAATGAAATCTGAAAACCCTAGAATGGCATTTGGAGAAGATGAAGGAGGTTCGTTAGATCACACTTGGACTGTTGACTTTTAATTGGATCTAACGGCTGCAATTTGAATTGAAAATGGAGGGAAATGGCTGCAAGGGAAACGCAGCGTTTCATTTAGTGAAACGCATGGGCCTGGATCCATTTTGATATCCCGACCCCCAATGAGAGGCCCAATCATAATGCACTTAAAATTCCTGCTATTCATACCGTCCGTTTTCCTATTTTTCTTTCTTTTAATTCATTTTTCTGATTCTTGCTGGGCCTAGCGCCTTTTGCTAATGCCACCCCCAACTTCTGGCCCACCAAGCAATTGAACTGAGCGTAGTTACTTGTGACACCCCCTCCCCAATTTATTTCATTTTGTGATTTTTAATTCTTTTATATTTTCTTCATTTTGTAAAATCCATATAAAATTGAAAAAAGCTTATTTTTAATTGCTTCTTTTTGTGCTGGTTTCATAATTCTGTTAAGAAAATTATCAAATAATAAAATTAGCATTTCATTTTATTTTTGTATTTTTAGTATATTTTTCTTTTAAATAGGTTTTAATTGATTTTAGGTTTATACATGATATTGTTGATTTTAGTTTAGTTAGATACTTTTATATTTTGGGCCTATTCTTTTTAGAGCATTTCACTTAGAACTTTAGCTTGTATATAAAATTTAATCCATGATTTTAGGACTTAATTTTAGATGTTTTGTTTAGGTGTGATTAGGAGAATCAAAACTAGGGTTTAGACATAGCATAGGTGTAAGAGATCTTTTCTTTTAGGAGTTGTAGTTTGAATTTTGGGGTATGGGACTATAGGGATATTATGGGTAGATAATAGATCCCTTAGAAAATATTAGGCTTCCCCTATTCTACTATTACTATTAGTATATTGCTCGTACTTGCTTGATTGTGTGGTGTGCCCTCTCTAGGGTTATTATTTGACTGTGTGGGGTATTGGGCATGTTTGGGGGGCTTGGGTTTGAGTTGAAGACTGTGCTGATGAAGCCCATTTAAAAGATCAAAGGGAATGAAGACCAACTTCCAGAATTGATGAGGAGGATCTCTTGCTGGCAGCTGTTGAAGGTTATAGGATCTAGGAGTTAGGCAGAGCTCTAGAGTAGAAAACTTGGTTCACAAACATGGAAGGTCTTGATTGCCTCCATCCCTCTCTATGATGCAGAGTCTCTCTAAGACACTCACCCCCTTACTTTGGAAGGCTTGGTGATGGTGTCTAAGAGATAGAACTCTTGAGAGAAATATTCTATGTGTTGTTAGCAGTCTGTTTGCCACCTTTGGTGGTCAACTAATTGCTTAACACCCCAGTTCACTCTTGTGATTGGTTCCTCAGCTGGGAGATTGGGACTTGAAGAAAAGCCCTGAAGACTGATGATAAAGGAGCCATTGAAGACTGTGAAGATGAATACCGATGTTTGCTTGAAGCCTGAAGATGGTTGAAGATGACTTGAAAGCCTGCTAATGAAGACTGCTTTGTTGTTTAGCTTTTGCTGTTGATAATTCTCTTTGTATTGATTGAATTTCCCTGACTGTATTGCTTGCTGTTTAACCTGTTAGGTTAAAAGTGAATTCTGTTCACTTTTGCCTATTGTTTTCTAGGTTCGAGGTTGAGTGGGACTCCCTTGCCTCGCTTGTATTGCTGCATCCATGCATTTTACTGCTTTATTGTATATATATCTGTTGTTTCTGTTTCCGTTTATCCCTTAGGATCTCTGTTTCTCTCTGCGCAAGAGAGGAGCATGATAGACATTAGGTCTTAACCCATGCATGATAACATTAGGGTAGATTTTATTCCCTCTTTAACCCTAGGATTTTAGAGTGTCATCTCTTCTTTCTTCAAAACAACAGAAAAACATTAATAAAGGTTATAATAGAAATCAATTCATTTCTTCCGTCAAAAGATTTGAACAAACATTAACCTTTTTGCAATAAGAAAACCCTTGTTTAAGGTGATATTTTTCATAAAGGACACTTGAACAGCTTGTGTCGTGCGTAGCCCGAACTACGTTTGCTCTGATCTTCCATGCAGTGTGGAAGTACGTAGGCATAGGATGTGATATCCTAGTGAGCAACCTTCCCCACCTTCACCCGTAGTTAGGCGAACTACGTTGACTCTGATTTCTCGTTCCAGACGGGAATACGTAGGCATAAAGTGCGATGCTTTGCCGAGTCATGTTTTCTTTTCTTTTCAGACCTCATCCTTTAGTTTAGATAGAAGTGTAATCCGTACAACCAAGCAAGCGTGGATCCCATCGAGTACGATGGACGTGAGGGGTGCTAATACCTTCCCCTTGCGTAACCGACTCCCGAATCCAGGTTTTGGTTGCAATGACCATACCTTTTCCCGTCTTTGCGTTAGGTTTACTTCGAGCGTTTCCTTTCCCTCCTTTGGGATAAATAACGCACGGTGGCGACTCTTCTGTATTGCCGGCGCCGATTTTCGCAATAGCGACAACCCGCTATCTCCGTTCCTTTTTCTTATGGTGGCTGAGGGGCTGTCTGGTCGGGTTTCTAATGCGATTGCTCTAGGGGATTTTAAAGGGTTCCATAGTAATGACAATCTTAGTTTGGGGCTGCTGCAATTCGCTGATGATACCGTCCTTGTTTGTGATGGTTCTTGGAAAAATCTTTGGAGTGTGAAGGTGATTCTTAGAGACTTTGAATCAACTTCGGAGCTGGATGTCAATTTAAGCAAGTGTAAATTCATTGGTTTTAATTTGGATTGTGACTTTGTTCAGGCGGTTGCGGGGTTCTTGTCGTGTGGTATCGGGTCTCCGTCTTTCTCCTTTCTTGGTATTCCTATTGGTATTAATCCTCGTCATTGAGAGGTTTTGAAGTCGACCGTTGATAAAATTAGAAGAAGGTTGAACGTTTGGCACAATAAGGTCCTTTCTATTGGCGGGAGAGTGGTTTTGTTAAACTCGGTGTTGGCTAATATTATGATATTCTTCTTTTCTTTCTATAAAGCTCCAAAAGTGATTATTAAAGAAATTATCATGCTGCAAAGAGTGTTCTTGTGGGGAGGAACAGAGGATAAGAAGAAGATCAATTGGATTAGTTAGGACACCATTTGTCGATCGAAGAAGGAGGGGGACTTGGTGTTAAGCATTGTGGTGGGTTCAATTTAGCTTTGTTAAGCAGGTGGAAGTGGTGTATTCGGAATGGTTGTAATTCTGTGTTGGAAGGATTTTTCACTATAACACAATTCATAGAGAGGAAAGCTGAAATTACACACTTTGAGCAGCAAGAAACTGAATCTCTCTATGATTCTTGGGAGAGGTTTAAATTATTGTTACGCGGATGTCCTAATCACAATATGAGCAGTATGGAACAAATGCAGATTTTTATCATGGGTTTATATTGTGAATCGGATACCTTTAAACAAAGTATAAACGGTTTCTTAGCAAGAAACACACAAGGGTTAGGGTTAACAAAGAAAACAAGGTAAAACAACAAGAAACAACAAGGATTGGTTATTAAACGGTTATTCTTTGCTTTCTCTTAGAACAAGATTACAAGTATATAAGAATAACAAAATAACCTCTCTCCCTTGAAATTAGGATTTTATCTTCCTATTTTTTCTTATGCCAAGATTGAGAAACTAGCATCCTATTTATAAGAAAAATAGCACATTAACCTAATGGGCTTTTTAACAATTACCCATTACAAGCCAACTTAGGGTACAAGCTAAATTAAACAATTGGGCTTACAAGCAAGGCCCAATTCAACATGCTAACAACCCTAGCAATATTGACTAATGCATGTTAGAACAAACTTCGACTACAACACACATTACTTGCGAACAGACTTCGACAAAACTAGAGTTCGATCCAACGTCTCACAAATCTCCACCTTGGATCTAACTCTATAACATCAAGAAACTAGCTTTCTTCATGCAGCTTTATTAACTGCATACAGTGGAAAAACTTGCAACTGGGAAACGTCTTGGTGATCATATCAGCAGCATTATGATCTGTCGAAACCTTTAGCACTTGGACTTCTCCATGCTCGATTACCCCTCTGATGAAATGCAGCCTCACATCAATGTGCTTGGTTCCCTCATGATAGGTTGAATTCTTCGACAGGTGTATTGTACTTTGATTATCACATTTAACAGTGATAACTCAACCTTGAAGTTTTAGCTCCTTTGCAAAACCTTCAAGCCACAATGCTTCCTTCATAGCTTCAGTTAGGGCAATATACTCCGCTTCAGTGGTTGATAAGGCAACGACCTTCTGAAGTGTTGCTTTCAAACTGATTGTTGTCCCAAACATAGTGAACATATATCCAGAGATAGATTTTCTGGAATCCATACAACCTGCATAATCAGAGTCGACATATCCTTCGATTGTTGCTTTACTATCTTCACCCAAGGCTCCACCATAAATTAGGACTCTATTCAGAGACCCGTTTATGTACCTTAAAATCCACTTCAATGCTTGCCAGTGAGCCTTTCCAGGATTCGCCATGTACCTGCTTACAAGACTTACTGCATATGTTATGTCGGGTATAGTGCAGACCATAACATACATCAAAGAGTCTACTATGTTAGCATATGGAATGCTATTCATATAAGTTCTTTCAACATCAGTGATGGGACACTGATCTATACTCAGCTTGAATTGAGGGTTTGTCGGAGTCACGACAGGCTTTGAATTCGACATACCAAACTTTACGAGAACCTTATGTAGGTATGTATCTTGAGATAAGCATAATTTCGACTGCTTTCTATCTCTTCGGATGTCAATCCCAAGAATCCTGGACGCAGCTCCCAGATCCTTCATGTCGAACTCTTTATTGAGTTCAGCCTTCACCCTCATTACTTCTTCGACATTGTTGCTTGCTATTAGAATATCATCCACATAGAGCAACAAAATGACAAATGAATTACCCGATCCAAATCTGAAGTAAACACAGTGGTCGAACTAACTTCTGATGAAACTTATGTGTGCCATGAACTTGTCGAATCTCTTATTCCACTGTCGAGGAGATTGTTTCAGTCCATATAAAGATCTATTCAGTTTGCACACATAATCTTCCTTCCCCATTTCGACATACCCTTCAGGTTGCCTCATCAGGATTGTTTCATCTAGATCACCATACAAGAACGCAGTCTTCACATCCATCTGTTCCAGTTCAAGGTCGAACTGGGCCACCATGGCAAACAACATTCGAATGGATTTGTGCTTCACAACAGGAGAGAACACATCATTGAAGTCGATACCTTCTTTCTAAGTGAACCCTCTAGCAACCACTCTTTCCTTGTATCTCTTCGATGTCACTCCTTCGATTCCTTCCTTAACTTTGAAAATCCATTTACAACTGACTAACTTGGCTCCAGCAGGTTTCTTGATCAGTTCCCAGGTGTTGTTATCATGAAGAGATTTCATCTCATCATCCATGGCCTTCAGCCATTCAGTCTTCTTTCGACTCCTCATAACTTCCTTATAGTCTCTAGGTTCTTCATCTAGAACCTCACTTGCAGAGATTAAGGCATAAGCTATAAGATCTGCATACCCAAGTCTCTGAGGTGGCTTGATGACTCTCCTCGACCTGTATCTTGCTAGCAGGTAGTCATTATCAATCTCCTCATCTTCGACAACATCTTCTGTGTCTTCTTCGACTTCATCTGGGGTAAGCAATTCAGCATCAACATGCTCCACCTCAACAGGAATCTCTCCCTGTTCCAGCTTTTCGTCAGCATCATCTGTTTTCTTGAAAGCCATCTATGCTTCATTGAAAACTACATCTCGACTGGTGATACATCTCCTGTGACCTGGCTCTAGGCACCATAGCCTATAAGCTTTGACTCCTTCAGGGTATCCCATGAACATGCACTTCAGAGCTCTAGGTTCGACCTTGTCTTGCCTAATATGAGCATAGGCCACACAGCCAAATACTCTCAGTCTATCGAGACTAGGTGGATGTCCCAACCAAACTTCTTCAGGTGTCTTCATTCCCAAGGCAGTCGAGGGACATCTATTTATCAGGTAAGCTGCTGTCGAAACAGCTTCCGCCAAAAACACCTTCTTCAATCCAGCACTAACCAACATGCATCTGACCCTTTCAAGGATTGTTCGATTGAATCTCTCAGCTAAGCCATTTTGTTGAGGAGTACCTGCTACAGTCTTATGCCTTGCAATCCTAGACTCAACACAGTAACTGTTGAACGCTTCGTTGCAGAATTCAAAGCCATTGTCGGTTCTCAACCTCTTAACCTTTCTGCCAGTTTGAGTTTCGACTAGAATCTTCCAACTTTTGAAATTCTCAAAAGTTTCATCCTTCATCTTCTGAATGAATACCCATAGCTTTCTGGAATAGTCATCAACGATGGATAGAAAATACCTTGCACCTGAGTGTGAAGGATTCCTAGCAGGCCCCCAAAGATCAACATGAATGTAATCCAGGGATCCATGTGTTCTTTGCTTGCCTTTGTTAAACTTCGCCCTACAGGATTTACCAAATACACAAGATTCACAAAATTCCAACTTTTCGACTTTGTCACCTCCTAGTAGGTTCTGCTTCCCTAATTCGACCAGGCCTCTTTCGCTGACATGGCCCAATCTCATGTGCCATAATTTTGTCTTCGACATAGATTTCATGGATGCAACATTTGTCGAACCACTTACAACCTCAGCCTCAAGGGTATACAAGCCTTGTTTCTTCATGCCTCTCAAGACTTCCTTTGACCCCTTCATGACTCTTAGGATACTTTTCTCTCCTTGAAAAATGTATCCTTTTCTGTCGAATTCACCAAGAGAAATCAAATTTCTCTTCAACTCAGGTACGTACCTGACTTCAGTCAATAACCTTATTGACTCATCATGGAACTTGAATCTCACAGATCCAATACCTGCAATTTTGCAAGATTTGTTGTTTCCCAGCAGCACATATCCACCATCTTGATTACATAGCTCCTCGAACAAATCTCTATTTGGAGTCATGTGCCAAGTGCAACCTGAATCCATAATCCACTCTTTCCTCGAGTCGCCACTTGAAACCACAAGAACATCAGATGAGTCGAAGTCATCTTGAACAATGGCTGCATTGCCATTACCTCCATGATCTTTCAGGCGTTCAGGGCACACCTTTCTTATGTGACCCTCCTTCTTACAGTGATAACATCAAATACTAGATGTTTCGCCACTATAAGACTTCTGTTGACTTTTACCTTTCTTCTTGTCGAACTTACCATCCTTTCGCAAGAATTTTCCCTTAACGGCCAAACCTTCGCCCACCGTCGAAGGTTTATGCTTCTTTCGTTCGCTCAAGTCCTTAGAATACAAGGCTGATTGAACTTCTTCAAAGGTCAGGGACTCCCTTCCGTACAAGAGAGTTTCTTTGAAGTGAGCATGTGTTCTGGGCAAAGCACACATCAGCAACAATGCTTGATCTTCATCATCGATCTTCACATCAATATTTTCAAGATCAAGAATCAGCTTGTTGAACATATCCAACTGCTCAGCCAACACTTTATCTTCACTCATCTTCAATGAATATAAAGCTTGCTTCAGGTAGAGTCGATTCACCAGAGATTTGGTCATGTACAAACTTTCAAGTTTCACCCATAATCCCGACGCTGTAGTCTCCTTTGATACCTGTCGAAGAACCTTATCACTAGGGGTGTGCAGAACCCAACCCAACCCGAAGACCCGTCCCAACCCAATAGCTTCGGGTTAGTCTTTTTTCCGTCTCATGTAAAAAAATGGAAAAACATGACTGTCCAAAAATGAACCTGGTATCAAGTGAGACGGGTTCAGGTTGATCCTCGGGTTACCCAACCCGTCCTAATATTATGAATGCACATGTGGTACTATTTATTTAT